CCCTGTGTGTAGGAACCTCTCCGCTCTCCCCACCAGCGCGGCCACCGGAGCAAGTCCAGTCTGCAGGAGTGTCCTAGAGGCTGTCCCTCGAACCAAGGACATCACCTCGACCAAGGACCATCACCTCGACCAAGGCATCACCTCGACCAGGACATCACCTCGACCAAGGACATCACCTCGACCAAGGACATCACCTCGACCAGGACATCACCTCGACCAAGGACATCACCTCGACCAAGGACATCACCTCGACCAAGGACATCACCTCGACCAAGGACATCACCTCGACCAAGGACATCACCTCGACCAAGGACATCACCTCGACCAAGGACATCACCTCGACCAAGGACATCACCTCGACCAAGGACATCACCTCGACCAAGGACATCATCACTCGTCATTCATTCGTGCGCTGACTCGATCTCGCAGCGTGGTCTCCTGAACAAAATGTTCGTAGAGACACAACTGAGGGAGTGAGTGCTGTGATTCAGCATTGAATGATTGACAGTTGAGAGGCGGGACCAAAGAGCCAGAGCTCAACCCCCGCAAGGAAAATTAGGTAAGCACACACGCACAGCCCCGTACCTCCCCATACCACACTCGCCTCGTAAGCGATAGGGCCTGGGTTTGAAACCTGGGCAGGGTGGAGCGATTGGCAAAACATGTTGTGGGGAAGCGCGTAGCCTTATAGTGAATCATGGCAAAGAGAGCTCTTAGTTTACCTCAAGATTTACGATTTTACGTAAATTGGCCATTCAGATCACCACGCTCCTGACTCTGGCACCCACCAAACACCCGTCGTATCTCTGGCACCCACCAAACACCCGTCGTATCTCTGGCACCCACCAAACACCCGTCGTACCTCAGGCACCCACCGAACACCCGTCGTACCTCAGCCACCCACCAAACACCCGTCGTACCTCAGCCACCCACCAAACACCCGTCGTACCTCAGCCACCCACTAAACACTCGTCGTACCTCAGCCACCCACTAAACACCCGTCGTACCTCAGCCACCCACCAAACACCCGTCGTACCTCAGGCACCCACCGAACACCCGTCGTACCTCAGGCACCCACCGAACACCCGTCGTACCTCAGGCACCCACCAAACACCCGTCGTACCTCAGGCACCACCGAACACCCGTCGTACCTCAGCCACCCACCAAACACCCGTCGTACCTCAGCCACCCACTAAACACCCGTCGTACCTCAGCCACCCACTAAATACCCGTCGTACCTCAGCCACCCACCAAACACCCGTCGTTCCTCAGCCACCCACTAAACACCCGTCGTACCTCAGCCACCCACCAAACACCCGTCGTACCTCAGCCACCCACTAAACACTCGTCGTACCTCAGCCACCCACCAAACACCCGTCGTACCTCAGCCACCCACCGAACACCCGTCGTACCTCGGCCACCCACCAAACACCCGTCGTACCTCAGCCCCCACTAAACACCCGTCGTACCTCAGCCACCCACCAAACACCCGTCGTACCTCAGCCATCCACTAAACACCCCGTCGTACCTCAGCCACCTACTAAACACCCGTCGTACCTCAGCCACCCACCAAACACCCGTCGTACCTCAGCCACCCACCAAACACCCGTCGTACCGCAGCCACCACTAAACACCCGTCGTACCTCAGCCGCCCACTAAACACCCGTCGTACCTCAGCCACCCACCGAACACCCGTCGTACCTCTGGCACCCACTGAACACCCGTCGTACCTCAGCCACCCACCAAACACCCGTTGTACCTCAGCCACCCACCAAACACCCGTCGTACCTCAGGCACCCACCAAACACCCGTCATACCTCAGCCACCCACCAAACACCCGTCGTACCTCAGCCACCCACCAAACACCCGTCGTACCTCAGGCATCCACCAAACACCCGTCGTACCTCAGACAACCACCAAACACCCGTCGTACTTCAGGCACCCACCGAACACCCGTCGTACCTCAGCCACCCACCAAACACCCGTCGTACCTCAGCCACCCACCAAACACCCGTCGTACCTCAGCCACCCACTAAACACTCGTCGTACCTCAGCCACCCACTAAACACCCGTCGTACTTCAGCCACCCACTAAACACCCGTCGTACCTCAGGCACCCACCGAACACCCGTCGTACCTCAGGCACCCGCCGAACACCCGTCGTACCTCAGGCACCCACCAAACACCCGTCGTACCTCAGGCACCCACCGAACACCCGTCGTACCTCAGCCACCCACCAAACACCCGTCGTACCTCAGCCACCCACTAAACACCCGTCGTACCTCAGCCACCCACTAAACACCCGTCGTACCTCAGCCACCACCAAAACACCCGTCGTTCCTCAGCCACCCACTAAACACCCGTCGTACCTCAGCCACCCACCAAACACCCGTCGTACCTCAGCCACCCACTAAACACTCGTCGTACCTCAGCCACCCACCAAACACCCGTCGTACCTCAGCCACCCACCGAACACCCGTCGTACCTCGGCCACCCACCAAACACCCGTCGTACCTCAGCCACCCACTAAACACCCGTCGTACCTCAGCCACCCACCAAACACCCGTCGTACCTCAGCCATCCACTAAACACCCGTCGTACCTCAGCCACCTACTAAACACCCGTCGTACCTCAGCCACCCACCAAACACCCGTCGTACCTCAGCCACCCACCAAACACCCGTCGTACCTCAGCCACCCACTAAACACCCGTCGTACCTCAGCCGCCCACTAAACACCCGTCGTACCTCAGCCACCCACCGAACACCCGTCGTACCTCTGGCACCCACTGAACACCCGTCGTACCTCAGCCACCCACCAAACACCCGTTGTACCTCAGGCACCCACCAAACACCCGTCGTACCTCAGGCACCCACCAAACACCCGTCGTACCTCAGCCACCCACCAAACACCCGTCGTACCTCAGCCACCCACCAAACACCCGTCGTACCTCAGGCATCCACCAAACACCCGTCGTACCTCAGACAACCACCAAACACCCGTCGTACTTCAGGCACCCACCAAACACCCGTCGTACCTCAGCCACCCACCAAACACCCGTCGTACCTCAGGCACCCACCAAACACCCGTTGTACCTAAGGCACCCACCAAACACCCGTAGTACCTCAGGCACCCACCAAACACCCGTCGTACCTCAGGCACCCACCAAACACCCGTCGTACTTCAGGCACCCACCAAACACCCGTCGTACCTCAGGCACCCACAAACACCCGTCGTACCTCAGGCACCCACCAAACACCCGTCGTACCTCAGGCACCCACCAAACACCCGTCGTACCTCAAGCACCCCCCAAACACCTGTCGTACCTCAGGCACCCACCAAACACCCGTCGCACCTCAGGCAATCACCAAACACCCGTCGTACCTCAGGCACCCCCCAAACACCCGTCGTACCTCAGGCACCCACCAAACACCCGTCGTACCTCAGGCACCCACCAAACACCCGTCGTACCTCAGGCACCCACCAAACACCCGTCGTACCTCAGCCACCCACCAAACACCCGTCGTACCTCAGGCACCCACCAAACACCCGTCGTACATCAGGCACCCACCAAACACCCGTCATACCTCAAGCACCCCCCAAACACCCATCGTACCTCAGGCACCACCAAACACCCGTCGTACCTCAGGCAATCACCAAACACCCATCGTACCTCAGGCACCCCCCAAACACCCGTCGTACTCAGGCACCCACCAAACACCCGTCGTACCTCAGGCACCCACCAAACACCCGTCGTACCTCAGGCACCCACCAAACACCCGTCGTACCTCAGGCACCCACCAAACACCCGTCGTACCTCAGGCACCCCCCAAACACCCGTCGTACCTCAGGCACCCACCAAACACCCGTCGTACCTCAGGCACCCACCAAACACCCGTCGTACCTCAGGCACCCAGGTCCCCAGGTAACTCGCCATGATATTCGCCCAAATTATAGGTTCCAGAGTCGGGTTTGGGAGTTGATGATACACAATCTATCCAGTAATTCGAATCTTGGTGGCCATCAGGTAGTTCCCTCGTTGGCGGATGAGTAACGGGAAGCAGTTTGCAGGCGTGGCAAAGGCGGGCGTGGGCGTGGCTATGGGTGGCGCGGGTGATCGATCAGGTGTTATAATGCCGCTGATGATGACACGCTAAAACTGTGATTAAGGTCCGAGGTGGCGAGGCTGGCGCCCTCTGGACGCGCTTCCCGCCAGAACCCGCCAGACACACGCCCTCAGGAGACCCAGAGTATAGCTGTTATATTATCCTTATCTACCCCAGCCACAACCTGTGGCGCCAGGCAACGCACCATGGCACCAGGCAACACACCATGGCACTAAACCATGGCACCATGGTGGCGGCTATGGTGCGTCTCACCGTCCCGCCAAATAATCAAGATTGGCAGAATCAAGAGACAGTCAACGCGCGCCTGGTGACCTTCCAGCCGCCGTCATGGGCTCCCGGGGAAGGTACGAATTCATTCCTCGTTTTTGTCCGAATATTTGCGGCCCGGTTGCGTGTTTATGGCGCGCCGGCGACGACACCGCCGCCTCCTTCAGAACGTCAATGCGACGCTTCAGTTACACCACCGCCTCCGGAACGTCAATGCGACGCTTCAGTTACACCACCGCCTCCAGAACGTCAATGCGACGCTTCAGTTACACCACCGCCTCCGGAACGTCAATGCGACGCTTCAGTTACACCACCGCCTCCAGAACGTCAATGCGACGCTTCAGTTACACCACCGCCTCCAGAACGTCAATGCGACGCTTCAGTTACACCACCGCCTCCAGAACGTCAATGCGACGCTTCAGTTACACCACCGCCTCCAGAACGTCAGTATGTCAGTCGCCTCCAAGCTACCCTCACTTGACTGACAGCTGAGGTGTGTCAATGCACAGACAGCCGACCTTTTGTCTGTCCCGAATGATTCCTCTCTACTTTATGAAGAATTGTTATGGTGACCAACCTGTTTCTGATGGCCCTTGTTACTATGCTCCCTGTTGCTTAGGTACTCCCTCGTCCACTGTAGCATCTTCCCCATCACTCGTGAACGTTTCTCCAACGTGTGCACCTGTGGGATGCTCCTGGAGCTCCAGGGATGCTGTGTCGGAAACTGTTTTACTGTTGTTCAATCCCCAAATGGTTCAAGTGGTCGGGTATCGTTCTTTCGCTCCATTCCTCCCCTATCCCGGCTCCTATCCTGTCCTCGTATCCCTTCCCTGTGACATATGTAATCATACAAACAGTACACTCATAATTTTTGTCTCTTTTCCGTCCAATCTCTTTCTGTCCCGTCAGATTTTAGTCATAGGTTTCAATCAAGCTTGGGAAGCTGGGTTTGCTATTGAGGCCCAGTACTTGGGCTGATTGTGGCCTGCAGCAGGGATAGGCAGGCTATCCCGCCGGCAGGACAGGGCAGGCTATCCCGCCGGCAGGACTGGACAGGTCCGGCCAACAATGATTACAAGGTTACTGTTATTGAAATATTCCGTGTTGAAAGCTGTGAAAATCGGCGCGGGCGGAGGTCTGGTCTGGTTCCTCGGATATTCGACCATTCTATAATGGTTGGTACCTCGCCCACCTGCCCTCAGCCCTCAGTCCTCACCGACCCGCCCTCAGCCCTCACCTGCCCGCCCTCAGCCCTCACCCGCCCGCCCACAGCCCTTTATACACAGCCTCCTGTGCCTGAGATGTGTCGACTCAGATCTCGATCGACAATGATATTGTATTATTGTAACTACTGTAACTGTATCTATTGTAAGAAACTGTTGCTGTATTGTAGTTTCTGCTGTATTGTAGCAGGTGTTGCATTATCGTAAATGGTGTTGCATACACTCAATGAGGTTTATGGAAAGGACAAAAGTATGGACTCTTAGTACAGGCTTAGGAAAGTCTGCAGGTGTGGAGTGAGGAGCAGTCTGCATGTGTGGAGTGAGGAGCAGTCTGCAGGTGTGGAGTGAGGAGCAGTCTGCAGGTCGAGTGAGGACCAGTTTGGAGTGAGGAGCAGTCTGCAGGTGTGGAGTGCGGAGCAGTCTGCAGGTGTGGAGTGAGGAGCAGTCTACAGGTGTGGAGTGAGGAGCAGTCTGCAGGTGTGGAGTGAGGAGCAGTCTGCAGGTGTGGAGTGAGGAGCAGTCTGCAGGTGTGGAGTGAGGACCAGTCTGCAGGTGTGGAGTGAGGACCAGTCTGCAGGTGTGGAGTGAGGACCAGTCTGCAGGTGTGGAGTGAGGACCAGTCTGCAGGTGTGGAGTGAGGACCAGTCTGCAGGTGTGGAGTGAGGACCAGTCTGCAGGTGTGGAGTGAGGACCAGTCTGCAGGTGTGGAGTGAGGACCAGTATGCAGGTGTGGAGTGAGGACCAGTCTGTAGGTCGAGTGAGGACCACTCTGCAGGTGTGGAGTAAGGACCAGTCTGCAGGTGTGGAGTGAGGACCAGTCTGTAGGTCGAGTGAGGACCAGTCTGCAGGTGTGGAGTAAGGACCAGTCTGCAGGTGTGGAGTGAGGACCAGTCTGTAGGCCGAGTGAGGACCAGTCTGCAGGTCTGGAGTGAGGACCAGTCTGTAGGTCGAGTGAGGACCAGTCTGCAGGTCTGGAGTGAGGACCAGTCTGTAGGTCGAGTGAGGACCAGTCTGCAGGTCTGGAGTGAGGACCAGTCTGTAGGTCGAGTGAGGACCAGTCTGCAGGTCTGGAGTGAGGACCAGTCTGTAGGCCGAGTGAGGACCAGTCTGCAGGTCTGGAGTGAGGACCAGTCTGTAGGTCGAGTGAGGACCAGTCTGCAGGTCTGGAGTGAGGACCAGTCTGTAGGTCGAGTGAGGACCAGTCTGCAGGTCTGGAGTGAGGACCAGTCTGTAGGTCGAGTGAGGACCAGTCTGCAGGTCTGGAGTGAGGACTAGAGGGTGGGACCAATGAGAGCCGGAGGACCGTCTGGGCGTGTCAGTGGTGAGGTGTCAAGGACGTATCAAGGACGTGTCAAGAACGTGTCAAGAATGTGTCAAGGACGTGTCAAGCGCAGTTGGTTACCCTTTGCATGTACCGGGACAATTAAGTGACGCTCGTCTTGCCGCCCACACCACCGTCACCACCACCCACAGCACCGTCACCACCACCCACAGCACCGTCACCACCACCCACAGCACCGTCACCACCACCCACAGCACCGTCACCACCACCCACAGCACCGTCACCACCACCCACAGCACCGTCACCACCACCCACAGCACCGTCACCACCACCCACACCACCGTCACCACCACCACCCACAGCACCGTCACCACCACCCACAGCACCGTCACCACCACCCACAGCACCGTCACCACCTTCCGCAGCACCGTCACCACCACCCACACCACCGTCACCACCACCCACAGCACCATCACCACCACCCACAGCACCGTCACCACCACCATCACCACCACCCACACCACCATCACCACAACCCACACCACCATCACCACCACCCACAGCACCGTCACCACCATCCACAGCACCGTCACCACCACCCACAGCACCTTCACCACCACCCACAGCACCGTCACCACCACCCACAGCACCGTCACCACCACCCACAGCACCGTCACCACCACCCACACCACCGTCACCACCACCCACAGCACCGTCACCACCATCCACAGCACCTTCACCACCACCCACAGCACCGTCACCACCGTCCGCAGCACCGTCACCACCGTCCGCAGCACCGTCACCGCCACCCACAGCACCGTCACCACCACCCACAGCACCGTCACCACCACCCACAGCACCGTCACCACCACCCACAGCACCGTCACCACCACCCACAGCACCGTCACCACCACCCACAGCACCTTCACCACCACCCACAGCACCGTCACCACCGTCCGCAGCACCGTTACCACCGTCCGCAGCACCGTCACCACCACCCACAGCACCGTCACCACCACCCACAGCACCGTCACCACCACCCACAGCACCGTCACCACCACCCACAGCACCGTCACCACCACCCACAGCACCGTCACCACCACCCACAGCACCGTCACCACCACCCACAGCACCGTCACCACCGTCCGCAGCACCGTCACCACCACCCACAGCACCGTCACCACCACCCACACCACCGTCACCACCACCCACAGCACCGTCACCACCACCCACAGCACCGTCACCACCACCATCACCACCGTCACCACCACCATCACCACCACCCACACCACCATCACCACAACCAAAGCCACCATCAACACCACCCACAGCACCGTCACCACCACCCACAGCACCGTCACCACCACCCACAGCACCGTCACCACCACCCACACCACCGTCACCACCACCCACAGCACCGTCACCACCATCCACAGCACCGTCACCACCACCCACAGCACCGTCACCACCGTCCGCAGCACCGTCACCACCACCACCCACAGCACCGTCACCACCACCCACAGCACCATCACCACCACCCACACCACCATCATCACCACCCACACCACCATCACCACCACCCACACCACCGTCACCACCGTCCGCAGCACCGTCACCACCACCCACACCACCGTCACCACCACCCACACCACCATCACCACCACCCACACCACCGTCACCACCGTCCGCAGCACCGTCACCACCACCCACCCCACCGTCACCACCACCCACACCACCATCACCACCACCCACACCACCATCACCACCACCCACACCACCGTCACCACCGTCCGCAGCACCGTCACCACCGTCCGCAGCACCGTCACCACCACCCACAGCACCATCACCACCACCCACACCACCATCACCACCACCCACACCACCATCACCACCACCCACACCACCATCACCACCACCCACACCACCATCACCACCACCCACAACACCGTCACCAACACCCACACCACCGTCACCACCACCCACACCACCATCACCACCACCCACACCACCATCACCACCACCCACACCACCGTCACCACCGTCCGCAGCACCGTCACCACCACCCACAGCACCGTCACCACCACCCACAGCACCATCAGCCACAGCACCACCAGCCACAGCACCACCGTCCACAGCACCCAGCCACAGCACCCACACCACAGCACCACCACCCACAGCACCATCACCACCACCACACCACCGCACCACCAGCCACAGCACCGTCACCACCACCCACAGCACCACCGTCACCAGCACCCACAGCCACAGCACCACCACCCACAGCACCATCACCACAGCACCCACACCACAGCACCACCACCCACAGCACCAGCCACCACCCACACCACAGCACCACCACCCACAGCACCATCACCACAGCACCACACCACAGCACACCACCACAGCACCCACCCACACCACCACCCACAGCACCAGTCACAGCACCACCCACAGCACCATCACCACAGCACACCACCGTCCACAGCACCCACACCACCGTCACCACCACCCACAGCACCATCACCACCACACCACCACCACAGCACCACCCACACCACAGCACCACCACCCACAGCACCAGGCCACAGCACCCACACCACCGCACCACCACCCACACCACAGCACCAGGCCACAGCACCACCAGCACCACCAGCCACAGCACCACCACCACAGCACCACCAGGCCACAGCACCAGGCCACCACACACAGCCACAGCACCACCACCCACAGCACCAGGCCACAGCACCACCACAGCACCACCACACCACCAGCCACAGCACCACCACCCACAGCACCAGGCCACAGCACCACCACCCACAGCACCAGGCCACAGCACCAGGCACCACCGCACCACCACCCACAGCACCCAGCCACAGCACCAGGCCACCACCGTCACCACCACCCACAGCACCAGGCCACAGCACCAGGCCACAGCACCACCACCCACAGCACCAGGCCACAGCACCACAGCCACAGCACCAGGCCACAGCACCACCACCCACAGCACCGCACCACCACCACAGCACCAGGCCACAGCACCAGGCCACAGCACCACCACCCACAGCACCAGGCCACAGCACCCACCACAGCACCAGGCCACAGCACCCGGCCACAGCACCAGGCCACAGCACCAGCACCACCACCCACAGCACCAGGCCACAGCACCAGCCACAGCACCAGGCCACAGCACCAGGCCACAGCACCAGGCCACAGCACCAGGCCACAGCACCAGCCACAGCACCAGGCCACAGCACCAGCCACAGCACCAGCACCCACCAGCCACAGCACCAGGCCACAGCACCCCAGCCACAGCACCAGGCCACAGCACCAGGCCACAGCACCAGGCCACAGCACCCCAGCCACAGCACCAGGCCACAGCACCAGGCCACAGCACCCAGCCACAGCACCAGGCCACAGCACCAGGCCACAGCACCAGGCCACAGCACCAGGCCACAGCACCAGGCCACAGCACCAGGCCACAGCACCAGGCCACAGCACCCGGCCACAGCACCACCAGCCACAGCACCAGGCCACAGCACCCGGCCACAGCACCAGGCCACAGCACCAGGCCACAGCACCAGGCCACAGCACCAGGCCACAGCACCAGGCCACAGCACCCAGCCACAGCACCCGGCCACAGCACCAGGCCACAGCACCAGGCCACAGCACCAGGCCACAGCACCAGGCCACAGCACCAGCCACAGCACCAGGCCACAGCACCACCAGCCACAGCACCAGGCCACAGCACACAGCCACAGCACCAGCCACAGCACCAGGCCACAGCACCAGGCCACAGCACCAGGCCACAGCACCAGGCCACAGCACCAGGCCACAGCACC